GATGGATTAGAACCGTAAGAGTATCTGCCCACCATTGCCCAGAAGCACGGTGCCAGGACAGCCTGAGGGCAAAGGTGAGGTGCATCACTTAGACTCTTTATTTCAGTGTTCTCCTGAAGACCACAGCCATTTGCTTTTGAGATAATCAGAAGAAAGAAATCACAAGAGCAGGCTGGTGAAAACCTAGTTTCAACACTTCCCAGCCTCCTCTTCCACCCCAGCTCCCACTGATATGCTTGCTCTGGAGACCAGAGAGAAAGGCTTTTCATCAAATTAAAATGTAAAATGCTTTCTTTTATTACTGCCTGGTGACCAGGGATATTCTGCTGACTCAGCAGCGAGTAATCAGCTTTGACCTAAATAATAGACTAACACACAGCGCTGCAGTGGTTGCACAAGCAGGTCCAAATCTGAAGTTCCCTCTTTTCCTCTTGTCCTCTTCCCCCCACCCACCCCCTCCAGGCTCTGGGCAGGCAAGCCAGTTACATCAGGTTCTTTCTGCCTCTCCACCTCCTTCTGGCCTGTCCCAACTTCATTTCTCTTCAGATAGCTTCCAAAAATGATCCCACCACAGCACTAGCTCTGGCCTCTCCTCCTCCCAGCAAACACTAGCCCCAGGCTTTGCCACACCCCCTCTCCTTGTTGGATCCTTAATTACAGACCAGTGACTGCTCCACCAAGGGTGGCCTTTTTTAAAAACCTCTTATGACTCAGTAGGTCCAGTCAATCATCAGTCAACGAGACAGCGAAAAGCAAAGTTTCCTGCGTAAATGTTGTCCCTCCACCCTATGCTCTCTGTACTGGCTGATTTTGTGTGTTAACTTGAGACAAGCTAGAGTCATCAGAGGAAGGAGCCTCAGCTGAGGAAATACCTCCATGAGATCCAGCTGTAAGGTATTTTCTCATTTAGTGATGAGTGAGTGGGTGGTGCCATCCTTGGGCTGTTGGTCCTGGGTTCTATAAGAAAGCAGGCTAAGAAAGCCATGGGGAGCAAGCCAGTAGGCAGCACCCCTCCGTGGTCTCTGCACCAGCTTCTGCCTCCAGGTTCTGACCCTGTTTGAGTCCCTGTCCTGACTTCCTTCAATAAAGAGCTACAATGTGAAAGTGTAACCCTTTCCTCCCCAACTTGCCTTTTTAATCACGGTCTTTCATTGTAGCAGTAGAAACCCTAATTAAGACAAGATGGTACCAGGATTGCTATGACAGATGTACCATGTTGTTTTGGGGAGGATTGCAGAAGGACTTTGGGACTCTGGGCAAGAAAAGTCATTGAGTGTTCAATGCTTGGTGAGCTGTCCTGTAGGAGATTGGCATATAAGAACGTTGAGGGTCATGCAGAAGATGGAGGCCTGGCTTGCGAAGTTTCAGAGGGGGAGTTTAAAGACTCTATCAGAACCATTTGTTACTTGGAGTTAAGATTCTGTGGTTCTGGTTAGCTGGGCTGAAGAATCAGCTGTGATTTAATAAGTTACCGGAGCTACTAAAGTGAAACCTTCTGCTCTGCTAGGATAAGTGACACTGTCAGCTGGAGCTGAGAAACTAGCGGTGACCAAGAAGAGACCAGCATTATTGAGATGAAATCTTCTAGGAAGTGCTATTTGAAAGTCGGTGCTTAGAAGCTGTGTTCCACAGGCAGCCAAGGTTGTGCCTTGTACTGGCAGCCAAACTTGTTAGTTCAAGAGTCACCCAGGTGGCACAGGTTTTGAAGAGATGAAGGGGCGATGGAGAGCAGCTGAGGCTTGGCACTGTGAGAGGTCAAGGGAGGTCACTGGAGAAGGTGCAGCCTCACTGGCAGTTGACGGCTTGGAAATGTCTTCCTTCAGTGATGAGCAGCAATGATGAAGTAAACGCTGATTAAACCCTTTCCCCCCCAACTTGCTTTTTGGTTATGGTGTTTCATCTCAGCAATAGAAATCCCGATAAGATACTTTCTGCTGCTTCTCTCAAAAGTATGTTGAAGCTGGGTGACTTCCTGCATCCATATCCAAAGTACACTGAGGCTAATTCACATAGCTGGCTCATCCAGCACCTAAGAGGATGGGCTACAGTAGACGACGACGGTGGCAGTGGTGGGAAGAAGAAGTACCGGAATAAAAGATGGCACCCTCACCCACGGTAAACTTAACCTTCAGGAACCTGAGGCAGGAGAATGACATGTTCAAAGCTAGGCTACATAGTAAATTCGAGGGTGGCTTGGGTTACATGGTAGAGCCCTGTCACAGGTCAGAGAGTAGAGTTGATCAGATACAACAAGGCAAAAGCCACAAAATTCAAGGTTTTGAGGCCAGCCTGGTCAATACAGTGAGTTTCAGGTAGCCTGATCTATAAATTGAGTTTCAGGCCAGCCTGGGCTACATGCTACATAGCAAAATCTTGTCTCAGAAGCTCCCTTGCCCCAAAGATGCCAGCATTGTGAATCCTGGTGTCAACATACCATTTTCAACACAGGCTACCCTGAGAGACTATTTGAAGCAGGCTATAAGGTAGGTTTTTAATAAAGTACTAGTGCCTGAGGCAGGAAGACGGCCACAAGTTTGAGGTCAGCCTGGCCTACATAGCAAATTCAAAGCTAACTTGGGTTGTACAGTGAGACCCCCCCCCACATCTTCCAAAACAAAACGACATTCAACAAACCAGAAAACAGAACCTCTGTACATAGGCTTAAAGCATCTGGGGCCTGTCCTCCACCTCTGTTGGTCCTCTAACAGAAGTAGGAGGGATAAATGATTTGGGTTTAAGATTTTTCTGCTGGAATAATATCTAGACATATGTCTCAAGTACAGTGAAAAGTTACTATTCCCAGAGGACAAGACTGTCTCCTTTCAGTTGGAGGCAGTTTCCTTGCAGCTCCACTCAAGAGGCAGAGGAGGGCCAGACTTTATTAGATTTTTGACAGCAGGAAAGGGAGACAAAAAGTGTCCCCAATTCTCCTTGACTTGTCTGGGCAGTGTCCAGGGAGGGCAGGTGTGGGATGCACTGTATGCAGTCTGCCTCTCTGGAGCTGGCTAGAGAAGAGCTCATCTCACCATCCGGAAGGGCGGGGACCATTCTGGACTGGGCAGGGTGAGTGTGCGTGTGCGCACAGACCTCACAACTCTAGAGTCATTGTGCAAAGTGGCAACCCATGGCAGGTCTGTGGTAAAGGAACTGCATACTGTGGCCCTGGCTCTTCTCCTAGGGGAGGGACCACACAGTCTCGGAGCTCTGGATTTCTAGTAGCAGGTCAGAGGAGCCCTCTTGTCTGAGACTTCAGTAGCATCAGCAGAAAGGAGGAAGCTGCCTGTGTGCACAAGACACCGACACAGCAGCAGCTGGCACTCATGTGCTTCCTTCTTCCTCTCACACTGCCCCCGGCTCCGGAGCCAGCTATGAAGCAAGTCTTAGTAAACCTAACACCCATATACCCCAACTCCTCTTCAGGCTGACTTGAGGCGCAGAAAGATCTGTGCTCCTAACAGTCACCCTCCTGATGGATGAATGCACAGGGCTGGTGTCTATGATCCAGTCTCACAAGGAGCAGACAGCAACTTGGCCAAGAAATCAGAATGTGTGGAGTAGCAGAGCTGAGGGTGCTAGAAGCCTGAATCTGGGGCATGCACTCCTAGACCAAACATGTGACTATTGCCCCCCAAACAAGGGATTTGGCCTCACACTTCACCCTGCCTAGGTGTAGGGTCTGTGTCAGGGCCAATCTCCACTGCCAAACAAAGGCCTCTTTCTAAGGTCTCAGATGCCTGTCCTGGGAGATCATCTGTAGTGGTGGGTCCCCACTACCCCATCACATCAACAAGACAGAAGGACAATGGGTGGACCTGGATACAAATAGCAGCGCCAGCCCCTTCACTGTTAGAAGATGTGTAGGGAAGACAGGCCCCCAAGCCAACCCTTTGAGTGCAGCCTCTGAAACAGACAAGCAGTGGCTTGAGGAGTCAGTGTTTGAGTAAAGACACGGGGTATGGCAGCCCACCGAGATCACTGCCATCAGAGCCTAGAGCTGGGAACACCTACAAGTTGGCTCCGCAAAACCTTTCTCTCAAGGGTCTGCTGATTCCACCTTGCAGGCATCTTCCCATCCTGAGTTTTCACTGCAGCCAATCAAATCTTAACCCATCTATAGGGCTTTACCTCTGCATAAACAATGAAACAACTCACTCAAGGCAGGCATGGTGGTGCACATCTTTAATCCTGGCACTCAGGAGGCAGTGGAAGGCAGATCCCTCTGAGTTCGAGACCAGCCTGGCCTACATATCAAGCTCTAGGATTGCCATGACTACACAGAGAAACCCTGTCTCAAAAAACAAACAAACAACAACAACAACAACAAAAAAAAAACCATCCAGGGCATGGACAAGGGATAAATTCTCCTCTAACACACAGTTCACAATGTGTGTGAGCTGGCTATTTCTAAATTGTTACAACAGTCGGCAGTGGGGGCGAGGCTATCAGGGTCTTCTCAGCAGCCAAAGAAGCCAGCACCACTGTGCTGGAAGGTCAAGGACTCAAAAGCTCTCCTGGGACTCCGTATAGGGTTTACCTCCTAAAAAGTCACTTGCCTGGCCCTTGGTCCCGTGATCTATTCTGGGAAAACGATAATATGGGTTGGTCATGAGGCTCCAATCAGAAACCAGAGAGCAGAGGCAAAAGAGCTAATGTGAAGCATCCTGGCATCTAAAGCGGCTGCATCTCCAAGGAGTTATTCCTACTTCTTGTTTGTGATAGGCTTTCACGATGTAGCCAAGGCTGGCATCCAGCTCAACATCCTCCTACCTTTGCCTTCCAAGTTCTGGGATTACAGGCATGTGCCACCATACTTGGCTTTCTATGCAACACCAGGTAACTCTATGGAGAGAGAATCCATGCATCCAAAACACATTCATATGGAATGGAAAGTAGTGTGTGTGTGGGGGGGGTCTGAAAAGGAAGAAAGGAAAGAGAAACCGTGACATGAAGATCATCAGGAAGACTGAAAGAGACTGAAGTGAGGTCCAGATGGCACTTACACAAGCAGATGGCAGCCAGGAGTCGCAGACCAGACTCTGGGGGGAAGCAGGTAGGGAAGAGTGGCTGCAGCACATAGTTGGAGAAGGTGAGGGCGATGACAGCTTGGTTGGTGGGGTAGATCACCAGCACAGCAATCCACAGCCTCAGGAACCTGAATGAAGGAAGACCAGGAAAATCATTGGCGGTATGGCAGGGAGCCAGCGTCATCAGCAGAAAATTCAGGTCAGGGGCAGGGATCGGGGAAGTCTTGAGCAAATGAGCAAACACCAGTGGGGTAAAGGAACATTTCCCCTTTTGTTTCCAGAGACACTGAAGAAGCTAGCTCCTGCCCCACCGCAAATGAGACCCTTTGTAATGCCAATGACAGCAAAGACCTGTATACATTTCAGCTAGCGCTGATACACATCCCGGTGTCTGGGCTTTCTCCTTTCTCCTTTAATCCTCTCTGCAACACCAGCCCTCTACATTCGAGGGTTGAAAAATTAAATGTGCAACCCCAGAAGCAACCCCAGAATTTGGATAACAAGAACACCCTAAAGGCGTGGCTTTACATAAGTGACTGCCAGGGAGGTATCAAGTAGGAATTTGCAGGGGAAGGGCATTGCACACGTTTTGGCCCTTTGGTGATGGATGAGTTGCTCAGTCAGGGTTAGAGAAGCCAAGAAAATGCAAGATCAGGGCTTGACTCTGGAAGGAGGCCATCATCCTTGGCAATGTGAGGAGGGGGATGCTTCGTCTCAGGATGTTCTGACTGGGTACGTGTGTTCTAGCCGAGGAAGTCACCCTCATGTGTCAGAGCCCAGGGCTTTCTTTTTGTGATTGCTTTTCCTACAATTCTGTGGTCAGTGTTGTCATCTACTTTGTTTATTAAATATTGCCCGTCAAACTCAATGTGGCTCATCTACTGGCTCCACCATTGGCAATACACATGGAAGACTAGAAACTCCTGTCCTTAGCCTCTTTTGCTCTGACTCTCAATCTGCGGCCCATGGGCCACGTTTCCCAGGATAGCTATGAGTGTGACATAAATACATTGTTACATGAAGTCATATTGGTATGTCAAAAGGTTGGACATCCATGTCGGACCATTCAGATTTGCTCACCCAGCAAGTCCTCCGAAGATGTCCTTGACATAGGAGTAATCACCTCCAGATTTAGGGATGGTGACACCCAGCTCAGCATAGCAGAGGGCTCCCACAGCTGTGATGACACCCGTCACGATCCAGACGATGATTGCAAGGCCCACAGAGCCAGCGTTCTCCAGCACACCCTTTGGTGAGACAAAGATCCCAGAGCCGATGATGTTCCCTGCACAAGGCACAAAGACTTGGTGAGGTCAGGACAGATGGCATTTGCAGGGCCATCTCATCTCTGGTGATTCTGAAGCATCTTTGAGATGGGGGTATGTCATCCAGCAATGATTCTCACTAGGGTCTTATCTCTGATCTGGTTCTAAAACATCACCAAGATCTCCACGATCTCTAGGCAGGTGTGTCCAGTAACAATTCTTCCTAGAGTAGGGTAAAGGGCCGAGAACTGACACGCATTCCCTAGAAAACTCTCACAGGGTCAGATAACATCCTGGTATTTTCAGCAGAGGAAAACAAGTCTCAGAGAAGCAAATGAGTTCTGTGAGGCCATGGAGTAGTGACTGTTGGAGCAAGTGCTGAGTCTCAGGACGCTCTCTCTGCATGGGTACACAGGTTCTAGCTAAGGTGACAGGCTCTTAGAATTGGCTAAAAAGACAGGAGTGGAAACACACCCTGCTCAGAGACTGTCTGCCCACTAGAAAGCTTCAAAAAATGAGCCAAAGGCTAAATTCTTTTGGACAGATTGTGACCACACTCTGATGACTTGTAACTATGGGCTGGGTATAGTGATCCCTACTTGGAATCCCAACACTTGGGAAGCTGAGGCATGAGGATCAGGTGTTCAAGGTTAACCCGGGCTTTATAGTGAGACCCTGGTTTAAAACCAAACAAAACATTTATGAGTGGAGACAACAGCCCCTAGAAACTGGTTTCTACATGGACACAGCAGCCCCACCCCTGTTGGAGAACATGAAATGGACCTATGAAACAGTCACAGTTGTCTAGCCGTGGCTTCTGAGAGAACAGTACGTGCAAAACCTCAGCACTATATTCTAGAGGCCTCCCTCTCTGTGGTGTCATATGACCCTCAGAAACACCTTGTAGAATTCAGGGAGAGGAATTTCTCTCCACTTTACTGACCAAGAGACTGTGGGGTTAAGTGGCTTTCTCTAAATTCCTCAGCTACTGATGGGTAAAATTGGATCTTGAAAGCTGTCTCCTGACGCTTAATCTGGTGTTCTTTTTACTAATCCACTTTTGCATGCTCAGGGTTGGAGTCCTCTCAGAGAGAGAGGCCAGCAGCAAGCACAGAAAGGGGACTCCTGGGTCATGCACATGGGACAGGGTGGGAGGAAAGTACGGACAGTCCCGATACACATCTTTCTAAACTGGTTTCATCCATATCTACACTGAAGGAGAAACGAAATCCCTTTGCAAGCTCCCTTCTCATGCACTTTCTAGCTCCCTACTCAATGCCTGAGGAAGAAGCAGAGACTAGCTAGATCCAGGTGGGAAAGGCAGAGCTGGAGAGCTGGCCTCAGCCTGTGGGCTTGACAGTGTTCCAGGAGGCCACCTTTCTTTGGTGATTTGGAACCAGTGAGACAAAAAGTGTAAAGTCTGGGCTGGAGAGTTGGCCTCAGTGGCTAAAAACACATATTACTCTTGCAGAAGACCTGGGTTCAATTCCTAGCACCCACATGGGGCTTGCAACCACCTGTAACTCTGGTCCCAAGGAATCCGAAACCCTCCTCTGATTTTTGAGGGCACTAGTTATAAATGTGGAGCACATACATACATGCAGGCAAAACAATCCTACACATAAGATACTAAAATAAATCTTTTTAAAAACACATTATTTCTTTCTTGTTTTGTTTTTCAAGCCAGGGCTTCTCTGTGTAGCCCAGGCTGCTCTGTAGAACAGGCTAGCCTGGAACTCATAGAGATCAGCCTGTCTCTGCCTCCTGAGTGCTAGGATTAAAGACATGCACCACCGTCCGGTAAATAATTTTTGTCAAACTGTAAGGTTCTTTGTTTTACTTTCTAAAACCAGGTAGAACTCAACCTCAATTCAGTTCTAAGGCATTCACTTCTAAGTCAAGATTCAAATGTATTTTCTTTTGAGATGAGGTTGTGCAATACAGTTAGTTAGCTAGCCTGGAACTCCGGTATGTAAACTATTAGACTAGACTCTCCTTGAAATTGCACCAAGCCAACTGTCTCTGCTTTCTAAAGTTGAGCGCTAGGATTACAAGTATGCAACACTATGCCTGGTCCCCAAAATCCAATTTCCAGTCAGGGCCAGGAATACAGTTATGAATTAAAGAGGAAGAAAAGAATATTCACAATCCAATCCTTGATTCCTCTCAAATGTAAAATCTGATGTTACTTTTCAAACTGAAAAAATGTAGTGTGAAGTATTTAGGATTCTGGGGCAGGATATGTATTATGTATTTATGTATGTTTGTATGTATATTTAATATGTATGGATGTTTTACCTTTATGCAAGTCTGTGACCACATGCATGCCTGGTGTCTACAGAGGTCAGAAGAAGGTATCTGATCCCTTGAAACTAGAGTTACAGATGGCTGTGAGCCACCATGTGGGTGCTGGGAATTTAATCCAGGTCTTCTAGAAGAGCAGCCAGTGCTCTTAACGTCTGAGCCATCTCTCCAGCCCCTCAGGCTGGAGGCAGAATTTTGAGTTTGAGGTCAGCCTGGACAAAATAATCAAATTTTTAAAAAGCCCACCAAAAAAAAAAATAAAACAAACAAACAAAAAAACCCAAACAAAACAAAAAAGCCCAAATAAAACTAAAATAAATGTTTATTTTATTTTATTTTTAAAATCAGAATGGCCAGGGTGGTAGCACACATCTTTAATCCCAGCATTCAAGAGACTGAAGCAGGCAGATCTCTGTGAGTTTGAGGCCAACCTGGTCTCTGTGGCAAATTCCAGGCTAGCCCAGGCTATAAGTGAGACCCTGTTCCGAAATTAAAAAAAAGCCACAGATAGAAACACATTCTCTGTGTTGGGGGAGGTGGGGGCAGGAGGAGGGGAGGGAGGGGGAACTGTGATTGGTATGTAAAATGAATAAATTTAAAATGAAAAGAAACACATTTTCTTTCAAACACATTTTCCTTTAGAGATATTCACAGAAATAAAACAGCCCCTCAACATCAAGATCAAATATCAGGCCACGAAGAGGCACACAAAAGGGGCTCTTATAGATAGATATCTTTCTTTTCCTTCCTTTCTTACACACTGTCCTTTGATAGGACAAGAAGACATCTTTGTCACACATATCCTCTATGAACTGCTGTCTTGGTGGAGACTAAAAGGCCTTCACCCAGTATTCTAGGTCCGAGGGCTTGGTCATCTTGTCAAGTGATCTTTCAAGCTGGGCAGCATGGCTGGTTCACAGTAATAATCCCAGCACTCAGTAGGATGAGGCAGGAGAACCGCCTTGAGTCTGAGACCAGTTCTTGAACTACAGTGTCTCAAAAAAATATTATTTACCTACCAAAGATAAATGTTCTGCTATTCCCTGGAAGACAGGAAGCCCCGGGAAACAAGAACACTGGAGTCAGAGTTGCTGAAAGCGGCCAGAAAATTCCTTGCCTATCTGGGAATTATCAAAAGACTGATCTAAAGGGCATTTCATGGCCATCTAAGAAGAGAGAAACAGAACTTAGCCCATGAAACCAGCTCCAGGGCTAGAAAAACAACAGTGAGAGAAAAACAAGGGTTGACTTTGGTCTTAAAGCAGTGAAAATGGAAGAGGAAATAGCTAGGCATTTCTTGGAGCTGGGAATGGCAGTTTCGGTGGGAAGGTGGGGCGTCCTGTTAAAAGTTCTGCCTGCTCAGGAATGAAGAGTCAATGTCCACTAAGGGTTCTGGGCAAACAAACAGCCATAAGGATCAACCCAGGATTGTGACTAGTTCTGCAGCCTCTGGGACACTGTCATAGAGTACACATGTCACAGAGTCCCCTGGGAGATGAGGTACACAGCACTAACTAATCTTTGAGGGGTCCGTGGACTAATTATTTCTTGGAAGAAACAAGGGAGGTGTCATTATCCCCATTTTATACTTGAAAAAACAGAGACCCAGGAATGTGTTGTGGGATATTTGTACACTGTGTAGAGATGTATTTCTGTGACTGGTGTAACAAGAAGCTGAATGGTCAATAGCTGGGTAGGAGGTATAGGTGGGATTTCTGAGGAGAGAAAGGAAGAGGAAGAGGAATCTAGGCGCACAGGAGATGCCAGGAAACAGGAGAGGAAGCAGGAGGTACAGGACAGAAGAGAGGTAATGCCATGTGATAAAACATAGATTAATATAAGTGGGTTAATTTAGGTTATAAGAGCTAGTTAGGAACAAGCCTAAGCTATAGGCACAGCTTTCATAACTAATAAGAAGTGGTCAGGTCATTATTTGGGAGCTGGCTGGCGGCACAGAAAGACTTGTTACAGAAAGGTATCACAGCTGACCTAGAAGTGTCTGCATTGGAGGATGCATCTCCTGCCCCTGCTTTAAGACATGGTGAAAATAAAAGACTTTCCCACATACACAGGCCTGTCCTTACATGCTCCATTGAGCAGCCGATGGGAGGCAGACTGGACTTACTCCCCTTACTGCAGTCCTATCATCTGCAGTGGTGGCTGAAGCACATTGCGATGGGTACCTTGATTCTCAGAACAGCTTTCTTAAAATTCTAATCTCTGGTCTGCCCTGGGCAATCATTCCTATTTACTTTTGTGAAAACTGAGACTCAGAGAGAGAAATCCACTTGGTCAAAGTCACATGCTGTGTAAGCAGCTCGGGCTGGTGGAGAAGCTGAGTCGTTGGATTTCAGGCCTAGGGTGTCCTCCAGACTCCATGCTGCTCCTCCTCCTCTGTCAACAGCACTACACAGTGCAGCCCCATGGCCTTCAGTGCCCTGTGCAAAGGAGGTTCCCAGACAGAACTAGGAAAGAGCCTTTCTAACTTGGTTAGAGTCTTTCTTCACATAGAGAAAGGAAGTTGACTTCTGTGGTTTTTTTTTTTTTTTCCTCCCTTGCTTTACTCTTAGCCCCCATTTTATAGAACAGTGGTTTCCACCCTTCCTAATGCTGTGACCCTTTAATACAGTTCCTCATATTGTGGTGACCCCCCAACCATAAAATTACTTTCATTGCTACTTCATAACTGTAATGTTGCTACTGTTATGAATCATAA